CATTCCCATTCCCATTCCCCATTCCCATTCCCCCATTCCCATTCCCCATTCCCCATTGCCATTCCCCATTCCCATTCCCATTCCCATTCCCCCATCCCCATCCCCATCCCCATTCCCCATTCCCATCCTGGAGCTGACTGGGCAGCGTGGGCGCTGCTGGACACATTCCCATTCCCATTATTCCCACTGCTATTCCCCCATTCCCATTGTTATTTATCCCGCTGTTATTCCCATCCCGTCACTGACCGGGAATCGGGGTCTCTGCTCCTCCCATTCCCGTTATTCCCGTTCCCATTCCCGCTGTTATTTATCCCATCATTCCCATCACTGACCAGGAATCGGGGTCTCTGCCCTTCCCATTCCCGCTGTTATTCCCATTCCCATTCCTGGTGTTATTCCCAGTGTTATTTATCCCATCATTCCCATCACTGACCGGGAATTGGGGTCTCTGCCCTTCCCATTCCCATTATTCCCATTCCCACTGTTGTTATTCCCGCTGTCGTTCCCGTCACTGACCGGGAATCGGGGTCTCTGCTCCTCCCATTCCCGTTATTCCCGTTCCCATTCCCGCTGTTATTTATCCCATCATTCCCATCACTGACCGGGAATTGGAGTCTCTGCCGTTCCCATTCCCCCTCATTCCCACCCACTGTTGTTATTCCCGCTGTCGTTCCCGTCACTGACCGGGAATCGGGGTCTCTGCCCTTCCCATTCCCGCTGTTATTCCCATTCCCATTCCCGGTGTTGTTATTCCCGCTGTCATTCCCGTCACTGACCGGGAATCGGGGTCTCTGCCCTTCCCATTCCCGCTGTTATTCCCATTCCCATTCCCGGTGTTGTTATTCCCGCTGTCATTCCCGTCACTGACCGGGAATCGGGGTCTCTGCCCTTCCCATTCCCGCTGTTATTCCCATTCCCATTCCCGGTGTTGTTATTCCCGCTGTTGTTCCCGTCACTGACCGGGAAGCGGGGTCTCTGCCGGAGGCTGCGGTGGTGCCGCAGGTGCTGGAGCCGATCCTCAGGCAGGGCGGGGGAGAAGAGCATCCCGCAGGATCCGCAGCGCTCCGGGGACAGGGAACGCTGCCCCGCGTCCTGGGAACGGCGGCGGAAAAACACCGGGCGTCGGCACGGAGCGGAACACCGGGAATGAGCAGGGATCAAACACCGGGAATGAGCAGGGAGCACACAAACACCGGGAATGAGCAGGGAGCACACAAACACCGGGAATGACAATGGATCATCGGGAATGAGCAGGGAGCAAACAAACACCGGGAATGACAATGGATCATCACACACCAACCGGGAATGACCATGGATCACACAAGCACCGGGAATGAGCACGGAGCACACACCGGGAATGACGGATCACACACCGGGAATGATGGATCACACACCGGGAATGACGGATCACACACCGGGAATGACCATGGATCACACACCGGGAATGACCATGGATCACACACCGGGAATGATGGATCACACACCGGGAATGACGGATCACACACCGGGAATGATGGATCACACACCGGGAATGACCATGGATCACACACCGGGAATGAGCAAGGATCCACCGGGAATGATGAAGCATCCACCGGGAATGACCAGGGATCACCCGCCAGC